CACAAATGTCCCGAGGAAAGTTAGAGCAAAATCCATCTCCTGCGTTCGACTTTCCCGCGCGGTCCGTGTGTGCATTCCGAGACGTTTGTGTGTTTTGACGCTCAAACGCGCGTCACCATTGACTTTGCATTGAAAGCCGACACAACGCATGATCCGGTCTGAACGCGGCATTAGAGGTCAAAACCTTCATCAATGCTTGTAAGTTCATTTCCATAAGCAGTAGGATACTTGTTACTCCATGTACAAGACCATGTACAGGACGCACACATTAGCTGGTGGATCTTTCCCACAGTTAGGCATAGTATTTGTTTTTCTACAGGCAAAGTCTGGCCTGGGCTTAATCCCTTTGAACACTAATTAGAGTTAAGGACAGAATATTCCTGCAAAAGCATGTTTGCGAGTTCCAGAATGGCAAAGATATTAAGATGTGATGGATGAAGCTCAGCTTAGCCAGCAATTCTGCTTTACAACCAGTGCACAAGAGAATTTAACAGAAATGTGGCAGGAGGGAGCACGTGTTAAAACTGAGATGCAAATAGAACTCACAGTGCTTCCACATTGCCAGAAGTTAGGTTAGGTCTGTGTAAACAATTGTGTGAACACGACAAAAACATCACGGCTGAAATAAGTGGAAATGAGAAGGAGAAGGAGTGATATGAATCAGGAAGAAGCCTCTGCACTTCTCTGCTGTAAAGAAAATAAAAAACATGTAAACTAGATGAATTGCTGGACAGCCTCAGTTGAAGTAAAACAAAAATAGACATGAATATCATGTAAAGTTCTGGCAGTTTACAATACTGCGTCTGGCACTGCACTACTCAATTACAAATTCCATATATAGTGTATAAGAGGTTGTTTCTCCACACATGTTCAGGATTTCATCCAAAAATATTTCAAGAGATTAGAATAGTTACATGCTTCAGATGAAAAATTATTATACTAGTAAAGTATCATATCATATTATCTTTGGAGGAATCAAAAGTGGTCCACTGGAGGCAATATAAATAGTCCTTGTTTTTTTTTTCAATGGACTTAAAGGAATAGGCGACCGTTTTTACATACTGACATATGTTCTTACCTTACCTTACTTTGTAGTGTAACACGTCACGTTACTGTATTTAAATAGGGAACACGTGGAAGAGTTTGGTAGCTTCTAACGGGAGCTGATTTGGTACTATACAGTCTGTGGAAGAGGCTGCGTTTGTGCTGTGTTTGCATGACAGAGCACACGGACAAAGACCAGACAGGTACATATTAACTAGTCTAAGGTAAGAACATATGTCAGTCTGTAAAAACTGTGGCCTATTCCTTTAAGGAAAAGTGAAAAAAAAAATGAAAAAAGGATGTTATTTGAAAGCATCATAATGATGCCTATAGCTTTATGTTTAGGTCTTATTTCTGTAAGCCTGGAGCCTGGAGCCTGGAGCCTGGAGCCTGGCTACGGCTCTGGGACACACCGTATGTAGCTCTACACACAGCAATACGCACACACTGCCTCGGACTGGCCCATCTCACTGGGCAAACAACTTCACAGCCATCCATCTGGGAGAAGATCGCACACAGCAGGGGTCTAGAGACAATTAGCATAACTAACAGAACACTCAGAGCATACTCTGCAAATCAGGGGAAATGAAACTGAACCTGTGCAATCCCAGTGGAAAGGGATTGGTAAATCAATTTTACACACTTGATGTGTGAAAGCTGGCAGAAATCATGAATTCCTTTTGCCGCACCACCTTAGCTCAACACGAACCGCAGGTTGTCCATGGTTTTGACCGCCTGCAGAGCTCGACAAAGAAAGCTGCTTTTCCTTGGCTGTTTTATGATAAATCTTGTGCCAGTACAAATCAACATTTATGTGCGTATTGCAACATAGGAACAGGGAAAGTTCCTCCAGTGTCTACAAGATATTGGAAATTAGAGCAATATTCAATATGGATGTTTAGTATTTCAATAACGTTATTTTTGCTATATTTTTATTATTCTTTCATCTAAAAATGCAATTTGCATTGAACTGGCAGAAAAATCATTAACAAAAATCAAGCACAACATGAATTACTTTCAAATGCAGTATGACACACATATTAACCTCAAATCTTGCCTAAAGTTGCAATTTCACAATTCATTGAACAAAAAATACTACTCAGGTATTTCAAATCTTTAATTTATTTCCACTACACATTAATATTTGTCTTTTTAATACAATCATTTTAAAAAGATTTTGCTTTCTCCAAACTGGCATTAATGCTCGTTTGCGCATTTGCCTTTTGTTTGACCAGAGTTGGCTGTGGAGTTTTAGATTTTAAATACACAGCATAAAGTACCTTGTGGTTGTGTCAAAGGTGGCTCTGGAGATTTTTTGCGTTTCCCTTCGATGTAGCAACTATTTTTTGGCAAGACTTGCAAATGACTTGTTTCTGTGATTGGTCCTGTCTTGTAAATCCGAAGTAGTCCCAAAATTTGGAGGAAAGAAGTCTTTTGGGAACAAGGTCCTCTCTTCATTTGTCTGCATTTGTCTCTTCATCGTCAACCTTGCTTGTTTGTTTCTTCGCGTGCTCCACTCTACCATGTGGCGGGCTGGCGGCGGTCTCTTGTGATATCTGGCTAGGGTATTACTAGCTTGGAGCTGAAGGACACATGTTCTTGGGGGATTCTTACTTCAGACTAAACAAGACTAAATTCACGTGGACTACCCAGAAATGTTCCCCATAGAACTCAATATAAACTAAAACAGCTTGATCTCAACTGAAAAAGACCCTACAGCTTTCATAAAGATCGGATTTAGAGGGGATTTCAGTGTCCCTTGTCATGCTGAACTTTTTTCCTTCTTAAATCTTGGAATGCAGCGATTGTGAAATTTTGGGCCAGTACCTTAATAATAATAAAAATGCATTGGTTTTTTATAGCGCTTTTTTGGACACTCAAAGACGCTTCACATGTCATTATTTGTTAACTCTAAACACGGTGGTGATAAACTACTACTGTAGCCACAGCTGCCCTGGGGCACACTGACAGAAGCGAGGCAACCAGTCTGTGCCATCGGCCCCTCCCACCACCACCAACCATTCATACACACACACCAGACTCATTCTAGGCAATGGGGGTGAAGTGTCTTGCCAACGACACAACAACAGCAGACAGTGGGAGTCGATGGTGAAAGTCTTGAGGTGGGCTAGAACCCACGACCTTCTGGCTCAAAGGCCAATGCTCTACCAACTGAGCCACTGTCGCCTCGAACCTTGACTTTAATAGGGCGCCATCTTGGATCGTCAGGGCTTGGTCGCAGCAGATTTGTTGAAGAGCGCATACAAGAAATGTATAGATAAATATTTCTACATTATTGCGCATCTTTTAGATATGGATGACGTATATACATCTCTAATGTGCACATTAAAGAGGTTACAGGGTAAACTTTAGCTTGTCCCTGCCACGGACAGTACGTCACAAATTATTACAAGTAATATGGGTGACGTGGTTAGTACCAGTTAAACTTGTTATTGACTGTTAACGCAAACTTATTTTAACTGCGTAATTTTTCTTCTCACATGATTAACGCGTTACACGAGTTTGTATTTTGACTAAAAGCCGTTTCAAAAACACGTGCGTTGTGTAGGGGGTGTAAGGTGCAGCAGACGTTGAAGAAAACCAAAGCAGTCGTGGTGATTACTGGACATCCTGGTCATTAATTAATCGTTTGACAGCACTATATACAACATTTGAGACAATTAACTCTATAACTTAAGAGATAGATAAATCTTTTTTTAAACACAGATGAGCTGAGCTTCAAACAGAAGGCACCGGGCAAATATCATGGTGTAGCCCTATCACCAAGTAAATTATGAGCGGTGAACATCCAAAATGTTTCTCTTTGTTAAATAACTTGGATCATAATGTGAGGACACATAAATGTGTGAAGTCTAATATTGTGTGCAGGTCTTGACAGTGAAATATGGCAGTCGGGGGTACTCAAACACAAGCAGAAACCTCTGGGTGAAAGCAATCAGTTGGCTTCAGAGTTATAATATCCTCAGAGACGGAACGCGCCGGGAGCTGAGTGACAGGAAGGAATCTGTTTTCTTTTTACTTTCACCTGTGAGGATTAGAAGGTTGGCCAGAGCTGGTCAGATCACTCTCTCCTCTTCCTATATATTTGTTGACTGCCTTTGGTATGGCGAAAACAATCATCTGTAATGCTCCAAGTGTCTTTTCTGAAGTGCTGTTGGAGTGTCACTGCTCCAGTGCTCAACAACAAAGACACAATAAAAATTAAATGAAAAACTAACATTATAAACTACAGATTTAAAAAGGGGGCTGCACATTTTTGTCACAAAATGCAACTGTAGAATGTTTAAGTTTTCACAATATGTTACAATATGAGTCAAAAGACAATCTCTTGATAAGTTGGCTTTAAAAAAATATATATGTTTAAGCACAATTGATCCCATTGGATTGTAAAGAAAAGGTTTTTACATTACATGCAACAAACACAATCCAAACGTTCAAACAATCCAGTGCAGAGACATATATCCAGAGACCCTAAGCACATGGCTCTTCCGTCACACACATCGACACAAAGATCACAAGAAAAGCCTGCACTTTCACATACAGTAGCTCCAGTCTGCAGCCTGGTGTCATCTGTGGAGCTCTGCAGTGCCACACACAGCACACTGCCTCCTAAGGGCTGACACAACAGCCCCAAAACCCACTCACTCTGCAGGCAACTGTCACCGTTCATCCATGTTAATATTACAAGTCATTTGGTATTCTGTCACAACAGCTTAGAGCTAATTATACGCCTCATAAATGATATATATATCCTCTCCACTAGAAAGAATGATTTGCATTTCATTATTTTCCAGCTTTGAATAAAATCATTCAATAAAAGGTTGATGTATTTACAACTCTTTTTATTATGTGACCGTTGCTTTCACCTACATTTCCATATTTCTTGCTCAGCTTTATGGACAGACAAGCTCAATGACATGAGCAAAGGGTCTTACCTGTGCAGAGGATGAGAGCAGCCAGTCCAATGCACTGTAGTGGCCCCATGTCTCCTCGGGGTGGGCTCATTTGCAGTCAATGGAGGGGAGACGATGGCTCCTTCAGCACAAATCCTCACGCCTTGGCACACAGGTTATCCTCTGTGGGTGGTGGGTAGTTCTCTGGGTAAAACATAATTGTGGTATTCCGCTTGAAGCCACCTGCCACACAGAGATAGCACATGGTCACAATAGAACGATTTAAAGTTTGATTTTTATATACATATAATATTGATCTGCTATATTTTTGGTGATTTATGGCATACGTGAGCATCAAGAGGAAACAAAACACAACAATTAAAATGTCCAAATGAATAAATCTTTTGGCTTACCATCAAATAAAAACATTAGACAAGTCAATCTCTATGGCAAAAGTATATTTCTACTTGACAGAAAGTTTCACTTTTATTGACGAAAAAGACATACTTTTAGTTCTATCATGTATCATGTTATAAGACGCCTTTATGCACCTTGCAATAGCGTTATGCTCTTGAGTAAATTCTTGAGCATTTCAGCCAATTATCTAACGTAACACGTGTGTAACAGGCTAATGGCCACGACAACACACTATGCAGCTTAAATGAATCTAAAAGCTTTTTGCACTTGTTACATGTGTCTATATACTACTAAAAAACTAAATGAAAATAACTTAACCTTAGTGAACATGTATTTAACTGTACAGAGCGTAAAGTGATCTCATGTCTTACCATGTTTTGCTATTGAAGCCCGCAGCAATCCACAACGTTCAACATAAGAAACATAACCCGTCTTAGTGACAAAAAAAGAGTTGCATCAACCAAAAAACAGAGGGAAAAGTCCTTTATCCTTCGCTCAGCAGCCGAGTCGATAATTCCCCCTCTTCCTGCAGACCTCAATGGCAAAGGTTGGTGACAAGTGGCGCGCAATGCTGTGAAGGCGAGTCACTAACTTCCACTAAAGCCAGCGCACAAAGCCGATATCTTCCTCCAGCACTATCGCAGATAAAAGTGCACGGCTCCAGCCTCATCCCCTGTCATCTCCCGCTCAGCCCCGTGTCCGTCTGTCTTTGCAGCTGAGAGAGAGAGAGGGAGAACCCACATGCTCGCAAAGTGAAGAAGGGGGCCATGCGACGCGCGCCACGGGCTCTCCGGGCAAATGGGGGGATTGGCGGAGCGCGCGTCAGCAACTATTGTAGCATCCAATAATTACGTTCCCATCGTTTTTTCCTAGTTTCTACTGTGATTTCATGCCTCTATACTGCTGAGTGGGCAGCCAATAAAATAAACATAAGTTATGAAAGAGTGACAAAATAAATTCTGCTGAGTAAAAAGTTACACAAGCTGGGGTTCATAAGGTTCAAAACACAAACAATGAAACAGCTCACTGGTGTTCACATGCATGTATATTTTGTGCTCTGTCACATCTTTAGATCTGCTTTTTGAGATATAAAAGTGAAACAGAGAAGAACACATCAGCCCAAAGCGTCAAATAATAACTCACAGGGCTCTTTCTTACAGAGGAAAACAATAATCTGAATATGATGAACTCAGCATATTGTGGTCTAATTAATTCCTCAAAACCTGGTACCCCAGCTTTGAGTGTCGCTTAGACTTGGAACAAAAAATCAGAACATATGCGCGGAGACATCAATGTAAGGGATTAAATTAATGTTTGAATACGTGAGCGCTTTGAAAACAATTGAAATATTTCCACAGCTTATTCACATTTTAAATCCCAGCAGCTGCCTGCTTGAAATCCTACATTTACCTTTATTTATATCCTGCACTTTCTCTTGGTCGCCTTCTGCACACACAGGCCCCTGAAAAGGAGATTCTGGAATCTCAGCAGGTCTGTGCTGGTGAATTAAAGGTCAGTAATCAATTATAACAGAACATCCACATGATCTACAGATTGGTAAACGTCGTCGCAATAACGTTTTTCTTATTTACAGACTTGTGTCTCCTCAAGCCCAGAGCGCAGTGCAACTTGTTGTGCAGCACTCGTTCAGGAGAAACAACAGCTCCACCTATCGAAGGGCACGGATAGCGCTGCTGACTCAAGAGTCACTCTACCTATGGATTCACTGAGCAGGACAGAGCGCAGTGCACTGTATATGTGAGAACCAGGGCTGGACTGGCCATCGGGCGTACCGGGCAATGCCCGAAGGGCCGATGCCCATATTTGGGCCGGTCTGTTTGCCTCATACAAAAAACATGTTTGTGAAAAGTGTAAATCCGTTGAGAACTGTGTGAGGGGAGCGCGCGTGTCCGCGGGGCACCTGCTGTATGTACTCAAACGGGATTCCACCACCTCAGCGGCCGCAGTGTTCCCGCATCCAGCGGCTCTGAGCTGGACGCAGGAACCGCTCACAACACAACACGGTGAGCGCGTACAGTAGCTGCAACGTGTCCATGTACCCAAGACCATAAACGCGCACAGGACCATGCATGTCTTTTCGTAATTTGTGCACCCAATAAATACACCGCTGCAGGAAACAGTCCGCGTCTCCCCTCTCCTCTAAATTAAAGCTCGGGTACCTAAATTTTCCATTGCATTAAAAGTTCATGTTTGAGCCCAAAAGTAAAATGTTGTGAACAGATTAAACAGATTTAGAGCCAGATAATGGTTGACAATATGCATTTCAGAAATGTTTACCAATTCTCATCCCTGTAACAAACAATAGTGTTGTCTGTGCCCACCTCCCTCACTCTGAGACATGTTTATTACTCTGTTTAATGTAGACTATTGTACTGTATTTTATTGTTGAAACTACAGACATCCTGATCCTCTACAGTATTTGCTTCCACATACTGTATAAACCAGGGGTCGGCAACCTTTAGTGCTCCTCCAGTGGCTCCTGGAGCCTTTTCAAAAATGTCTGAAAATGGAGTGTGAGGGCTATATTTTATTTCTAGTTTCAATGTGGTTTCTGTAGGAGGAAAAACATTAACGTTTTTCAATGCTGCAAAAACTTGTATAAGTAATAAGACGGTGAAAGAAAAGGCCATTAAGGACATTCAGCTCCAGCAAACTTCAGCCTGTGACGTGATGGATATGAGCAGACAGTGATGCAGGTGAACTCGGAGCCAAAAAGCAGATTTATTTACTGTATTGGTACAATTGCATGAAGGCAAAAAAATGGAAGTTAAAGTTAAAGCAGAGTTGTCACGTGGTGTGTCATTCTCTCCAGGACACGCTGCAATGAAAATACACATTTGATAATCATGAATGGTTTTTATGTGTTTAGATATTTAGATATTAGTCTAATATAGCTAATATAGCTAATGTAGCTAAGGTAGCTAATGTAGCTAATACAGCTTCAGCCCCTGTTACCTTCATATAAGCCTCATACAACGCTGTTTTTTGTTGTTGTTGTCAAATATGGCTCCTTGAACCTTTTGAGTTGCCTGGGCCGCTAAAAAGGAAAAAATGCCCGGGCCGTTTTTTTGTCCCAGTCCAGCCCTGGTGAGAACCAAAGATAAAAAGTGTCTTGCAATCTCTGTTTTTTGTGATTCTCCTTCTACTTGGCGTTAAAAAAAGCAACTTACTATTTTTATTTAAAATTTTAATTTCACAGCATGTCCCTATAGAGGACAAAAGGACAATATCCGTGTAAAAACACAGCATTTAGAAAGTGAGAAAAGAAGATAAAATTACATCTTTAGAGTGCATGACATTTACTCAAGAACACACAACAATTTGAACAATAAAAAAAAAATCAGCAACACTGTTACAATGTGATGTAAAACATGTATTTTGTCCCAACATTGAACTATAAGACATAGAACAAAACTACTTTTTATTTTAGCTGTGATAATCCAGAGGAACATGTAGACCGGCATGTCCAAACTCAGGCCCGCAGCCCAATTGCAGCCCTTTGTGCCATTTTATGTGGCCCTCTGCTGCTAACACAAAGTCGCCATTGAGGTCCTTTGACAGTGTCATCCAAACCAACTTCAGCTCCATCAATACAGTCATGCTATACCTTTTTGTAAATCTCAGACCCTCTGGAATCCAGTCGTTGACTTTATTGTCACAACATTCCAAATAAAATGCAGCTGTGGTGTGAATCAATAATGACATATCATAACCCATTTTAAATTCTAGGATCCAGTCAATCCTGGACTGATGATCCTGAGGTTGTTAGCCCCAGGTCAAGTCTGATGAACTAAAGTACTAAAAAGTTTGGACACCCCTGATCTAGACCTTTAGGCCAGTAGGGTATGGCTTTCCTGGCACATACTGCCTGAGTGGGCAGCGGCCAGTGAAAAGGATGATTTGCTCAACAATGCACACTTTGTCACACCTTGAAAGCCTGAGACAACCTTGCCTCACACGGTCAAGCAATGGTCTAACTCAGTGTCTCCCCAAAGTGGGGTCCGCGGCCCCCTGGTGGGCCGCGAGGGTACTGCAGGGGGGCCGCGGGAGGTCATAAAAAAAATATATAATTATTTAATGTTAAATTTATAATGTTTTGTTTGTAATATTAAAATATTTGTGTTCATTATTTGACTTGAATAATCCACTGTAATCATTTTTGTATTACAATGTTTGTAGCAGAGGCTATTTCCCCAAAATAAAATAACCAGAAGAGCCTATTCTTAATGTTGTCTTCTTGGTTATTATTTTGGGGGGCCACGCAGACCCGTCAAATTTTTAAGGGGGCCTCGGTGTTACTGAGTTTGGGAATGGCTGGTCTAACTCTTCAAAGAACGTGTGACTCCTTTGGTTCTTGAGTTACATCCAGATCATTGACAATCTTGAGTGAGCTTCTCAGCTTTTAGAACCTACCCCTGCCATTCTCCTGCTAATAACAGGCACTTTAATTTTTTAGCCCAAAACTCTGGAATAGCCAAGGCAGGCCACGTGCGTTGAAATGCCAAAGATTATCTTGCTTTCTTGAGCAGTAGTATTCAGTGACAGTCCTGTAGTTCGTAGCAGTCTTTGATTTGTAAAAGCTGCCAGATTTTAACGATGTACTGTGAAAAGTACTTGATTGGACCCCAACATTTACGGCTTTTAGGGTCATCTTAGGCAGGAAGCTCAGGTACC